ACAATTCTTCTTTGTTTCTAACATTTTCCTGTTTCTCATTACTTTGTTTAGGTTTTGGAATACATTGTCTGCTAATCCAATAAATGTTCATATTTTGTGGACACATTGTTCCCTCCTCTGTTAAAACGTTTACCAGATATTTAAATTTCTGTACTTGTTTAATGTTGACATTCCCAATAAGTTGCCTTAAAAATCTTAGCTTTTAAAAATGTCTGCATTTTGGTTTGGTTTGGTTTACGGCATATCAGCAAAAAATGGGTTATTTAATGCCAACAAAATTTTTATTGCTGGTAATGTTTTGTCAAAAAAATTTATTTCTGGTAATATTTTTCCTTCAAAAATGTATTGCTGGCAATAATTATTTTTTTCAAAAAATGTATTGCTAGTAATATTAATTTTTACAAAACATTGTAGGTAATATTTTTTTTTTCAAAAATGTATTGCTGGTAATAATTTTTTTTACAAAGTATTTCTGGTATTAAAACCTATTTTTACACTTTCATAGTATTTTAACCCCAGTTTAGGGGTTAACTATTTGCTCATAGCTGACACCTTAACAGGTTCTACCACCCCGGGTCAGGATGGACCTGGGAACACCAGCAATTAAGAAGTGGTTCCACACTCCTCAAAACCTCCTGATCAGAGGCCTGGCAAAACAATTTATATATATGTGAAATAGATAGGTTGGTTAAAAAAAAAAAAAAAAAAAAAAGGTTACCAATATAATTAGTACAATAAACATTTATTAAATATTAACCATATGGCAAAAATGAAGAACGGACAAAGGTTTTATGTTCTAAATTTTTGGACACACGTGTATCCTTCATCAATGGTCTGAGGAACAGAGAATTGTGAATTACTCACCGACATGTTTTTGTAGATGGGATACCTTCCAGTGAAAATCACATTATTAGCAAAAACAGATCTCCGATTCCTCAATGTGTGAAACTTTTTATGAAAATAAATTTTAATTTTATATATATATATATAGTTTTTTTTTAAGCATTCAACCCCAAGCAAGGCGGGAAGCCACTAGCACGCAAGGGGTTACAGAGTTGGAGAGAGAACAAAGAGAAATGATAGAGGAAAGGATGAAGAGATGGTTAGGGGATAGATCAGGGCATCTGGAGACATCGATTGATGTTACATTTGAATAGTTGGATATTATAGCTAGCAGGAAAACAAGAAATGGGGAGGGAGTTCCACAGGCGAGACATGAAGGTATTGGAGTAGAAGAGACGACAACATTTAACAGTTTTGACAGTGAAAGGGTGAGAGCGAGATGCCAGCGTAGTTGAGCGCTTAAATTCATGAAGTCTGGGAACCAGCAAAAGCAGCTCATTGGAGCAGTTACTGTGAAAGTATTTGTAAAAAAGACAGAGGGAGGCAACAGCACATCTGTGAGAGAGTGGCTGCATACGAGATGCCAGATCAGGGCCAATTACATACATATATATATATATATAAAAGGCATAAAAAGCAAGAAATTTTATATTGTAGGCCATGATAGATTTAAAACAAAAACACACACCAGTCAACCGGTTTCGTCCCCTCTCATCAGAACTGTTAACGGGGAACTAAAATTATGAAGAAAAGGAAAAGTCTGTCATGGATGACATGAATGAGTGGACAGGGAGAAAAAAAATTATTATAAAAATTATACCAACAAAGATGTTAGGAGCGCAGCAAGTCCAAGCAAACAATCTCTTTGTTTATAAAGAGCAGGTTACCTGGACCTGATGTAAAGCGTCTCCAACACCTTAAGATGGAATAATGAGTGCGAACTGGCCAAAACAGAAAACCAGTTCACACTGAAATCCATCACACAAGTGGGATTCTTTATAAAGTGATCCGCAATCGAAGACCCATATGTGTTATGAATGGTATCGGCCAAAGAAAAATTTTTATTCATTATTATAGCAGGTACATGTCGTTTAATTCTAACGTCCAACCACTGTGTCGTTCTACCTATGTAGTTGCATCCACAACTACATTTGAAATAGTAAATAACAGAATTAATATGGTGGGGGTGAGGGGTAGAACCCAGTAGCTCTTTTGTTAAATATGTCGTGTTTAACTTATTTTGTAAATATTATTTTGAATAACAAGAATTCAATCTTGTCATGTAGAAATTAAGAGTTAACTTGTATTTTTTTTTTTTTTTTTTGTAATTATACAAATCCATAATATTATTAAGCTTAGTCTGGCACAAGATGATAATAATTGTGGGATATTCAATTATTTCTGTCTGAATTTCTGGAGTGAGCAGTTATTATTTACACTATTTATATTTGGACTATTGTTCTTATCTTTGTTGTTATCACATTTCAGCCGTTGTGCCATCTGGCCTTGCACAGATATATATTGATATGGTAATCTACAGAGAATTCTGAACTGAACTCTTTAATTTATGGGGTAAACTATTCATGTTTCTATCTCAATACCATTATTTCAGCTATGTAGGTTCTAATCCTGTGTTTCACCTTCAATCCAACTCATGATCTTAAACTGTGTTAAGTTGTGTGTAAAAGTTTCTATGTTTTTTTTCTTGATCATTGACTGGCTGTTACTGCAGAAGTAAACAAATTCCTTGACGGATTTGATATTGTTGCCATTTTTCAACTTAATTTCTCCTTGGTTGTACCTGATAAATTCTGTTTTGACAGAATTAATGTAGAGACCGAGCATTATTAACAAAAAATGGATATAAATATAGATGATGTTATTGGACTAATGTTCATGGTTACCCAAACTTCCGAGTGAGTCTGCTAATAGGATTTCATGCTCTCTACCCATGTTCAATTAGTATTTGTTGAAGTTTTATAATGGATTGGAATGGTTCTGTGACCTTTATGACAGCTAAAAAATTTATGCCTGCATAAAGCTCAGCAGAATTGCTACCAAAAGTCTCCAATAATTTATCAAGTTTTTGGCAAACATTCTTTAGGCCAAAGACGGATTTTGGAGTAGCACACACATTTCAAAGCCAGTTGAGTGATGGTTCAAGATGAGCATTCAGAGTGACTACTCACTAACAAGAGAAAATGTTGGGGAGAGGGAAAAAATCTTACCCTCATCCATGAGGACTTCTGGCAAACAATCCATCAGCTCTTTTGTATGATTGAAATCAAGATAAAATTCAAATTGACTCAGGCAGTATTAGATATGTTTTCAAGGCACAATAGAGATGCTGGGGCTATCATATACATTTCTGAGGGGGAGATTATTTGAAAGGTGACCAAATCTAAATGTATAAAATTGTTTTTCCACCTTACAACCCATTTCTCACAGACCAAATGTTGCAAGTCTCTATTTGCTAAATTCCATGGAAAGTGTTCAGACAAACCATATCTCTTAGTTCTACTAGATCTAACCTTCACAGCTAAGACCCACCATACCATTCACTATGTAGTGAACCAGACTCATTCCCTTTATATTCCACTGGTGAGATATAAGTTCCAATCAAACAGCTTCTTCCCACTACATTGCGGAACTGACTCCCAAGAGGATGCTTTCCCAATCATTACAATCTTAACCTGTTCATCTGGGATTAACCATTATCTTCTCCACATACCCTCATAAACTGTGTCTTACTGTTTACTCTGTAATCATGTACCTTGAGTGGATCTTGCACAGGGTGAACATTATTAAAAAAAAAAAAAAAATTACTGAAATAAGGATGAACTTATTTTAGGCCTTGGGACTTTCCAGCACCTTGTAGATATATTACTAATGTGATTACTAAAAAAGATTTCGTTGAAAGTCAGGTTAAAAGAATACTAACTGAATTGAGTGATTAATATTTCATATATTTCTTAAGACAAAGTGCTTAAAATAAAACATTTTTGCTGACAATTACATTATTAACATTCAGTCTTAAATGACAGATTCTGAAGACAATATGAAAAAAAGTATATATAAATATGTATAAGGTGATTTTGAAAAATTACTAGAGATTGCATAAATAGAAGACCATAAAATATCGGGATCCAAACAAAAGTGAATTTCAAAGACAATATTTAGATATTTCTACATAGATTTCTTCAACCATATACACCCTTGTGCAAATTAATTGAAACAACTGCTTTAGTTTCCTTTCTTTCACCATACGGTCAGTTTTAGACCCACTGGAGTGATAAGGTGTAATCGATTTCTATTTTTTCCTCAGATTAGGTCATTTGCAGTGTGCAGTAGTATGATCCTATTTTCAGGATGTATGACGATATTTGTTTGGCCTTGAAAAATATTGTGTCATCCATGATTGCATCAGATTTTCATCCCACCCAGACACTATTGTCTCGACTGTCAATTAGTTGTCTTACAGCCATTGTCTGCAATGGATGTAACTCCAAGGAAGCGTATGAATATTGTAATGCTGCACGAAGACAATGGCAAGCCTTACCAGTGAGCAAATTGAAGTACTATTGACTGGCTTGGAAACTCTCCCGATTTAAATCCAATTGAGAATTTGTAGTCAATCTTCAAAGAAAGAGTTCATGGAATGGATATACAAATTACTAATATATTCACTGGGTCAGGTTTCATTGGGATTAAAAAAAAAATGTAAATAACAGAATTATTTGTTTTGTTTCAATTTGCACAAGGGTGTATGCCATTTTGTTCCACTACTTTTCTTCATTTTTGAGGCAGCTTCATGATTCCATCCTCAAAAACTTGGCATCTTTCTGGGTTATAAAGTGGTTTTTCTTCTCCTTAAGAGAATTTTATAAAATCAAAATAATGGTTAGTTGTTTAGCAGCATATCAACCGTTATGGTTTATTTAATGCCAAAATCTAAATATTTTGTACGCAATTTTTCTTTGAGTAATAATGGTTTTAAGGATACAAGTTTTGCTAATTAGCCCATAACTGGGGAGTGAAGAGTTGGTTTCATACCTTTCCCAATGATATTTGCATGTAAGTGAATATAACAAACCAAACAGGAATTGGAACTCTGCTTTCTAATTAACAATTCTGATTACATCATCATCACATCCAAGCTTACAGCACCTAGTATTCCCAAATGGTCACCCATCTAGATACTGATCAGGCTCAGCATTGCTTAACTTTGGTGATTTTACAGGAACCAGTGTTTCAACATAATGTGTCCATAAGCCCTAAGATCAAAATAAGTTGTAATTTGAAAGTGCATGATCAGGTTAGAACATTGAGTGTCATAGGACATTCAAACCAAATTCCTGCAATTTGTGCAGGGTCTGCAAATAAACATGACATCTTGCACTGTCCTAATGGAAAAGAACATCCTTTTGATTGACACTTTTCATAGATTATTTGCCTTTAATCGGTCCACATGAGAACAGTACATGTCTGAATTCAAAGTCTGATTTTACGGGAGGAACTACCAAACCTACCAGAAACACAACAGGACCTTTAGGTGCAGACCATTATTTCATTTTCTCCAGAACCTATTGGCACCACATTGTTGTAAACAATCCATTTTTCATCACCTGTAATTGCTCTTTTCAAAAAAGGTTCTGTTTTTGTTCAGTTTGAGCAAAGAATCATAAATAGATATGTAGTTCTTTAAATTTTTTTCCATAAAATCATGAGGCACCCAGACATTATAGCAATTCACATATCCAAGTGTTTTTAAAATAGATTACATTATTCACATAAAATATGTGGAGTATTTCATGTTGTATGACTGGATTATTTATAAACATTTCAATTTGGTCATCATGAATGACTGCAGGCCTACCAAGTGAAAACTTCCATTTTTGAACCTAGAAAATGACTTACAAATAGTACTCTCAGCTATGACACCATCTCCATAAATGGAACATCTCTCTTTTCTGTTTGTACAGGAGTTTTAACCTTTCTGGAAATAAAAGATCATCAAAAGATGAAAATGTATTTCATTTTCTTCCATTTTCACTTTTAATATAAAAACATTTCAAATTCACTATCCATACATGAATTGTATAAAAGACATGTTGAAATGTCACCTTTCAGGATATGTGTACATGTTAAATTTCAGTCAGGTGTGAAACACTCCTTCCTGGTCTTTTGAACAGGATTAGAGGTTTATCCCTTGTTTTCTGTTTAGGATTGGGTTTTTGGTTCTTTCTAAAGTATTCTATTTCAATCCCAGTAACCCCTAACATCTCAGTAGCATTATCGCATTACTTGGGGTGAATAGATATAAAAAAAAAAACAAAGAAAACAACAACATATGCAAGAGTAAGGATGAGATCTTAGATAATTTACATTTTTCAGACTGTTGTCCTCATCTTTATTGCCATATTTATAACATTTTGGCTGTTATACTCTTTGGCCTTCTTCAGGTGATTGGAATATTGAACTGAACCCTTTATTTCGTCCACACATGGAATTTTTTATGGGTAGTGCTAGCTAATAATATTAATAAACCAACTTAAATTTTTATTGGAATCTAATCTTTATAAATCTACATAATTTCAATAAGAAATATTCAATCATAAAAAATTCAGAATCTTCAATATTTTTTTCTCCATAAAGTCTAAGTTTAGAGCAAATAAAATGTTTTTATTATTTTTATTAGCTGAGGCTTTGTCAACCGTTATTAAATTTTCATTTGTATTTCTCTTTTTTCATTCTTTTTTTTTTTTTTATTTAACTTTTTTTATCTACACTAGTGATATTAGTAACGAATGTGCAGGCAGCGTAACTTATCGACACAGAAAGGGGAATTGTTGTTCTGTGTTCAAAATCCAGCTGAGTCCGTTGCATTTATTTACACACTAATGTCATTGAGAAAGGCATGAATACATATCTTTTCGCTCTATGAGTTTAGCTATTACAGTTACACTAGGCTTTCTCAACTTGGGTAGCAGCCACTTTAAAGAAGGATGATTTTGAATTCAAAACTATGGAGGAGATAACAAGAATGCACTTCACTATCTTTCCCAAGAAGTCATGAATATTCATAGATAAAGAAAAGGAATGAATGGAGAGACATGATGGCTTATGTTCTTTAAAAAAAAAATTAAAAAAAAAAAAGGGGGTGTGTGCAAAGGTTTCCAGTAAAAAAAAGCAGTGTAATTAGTCTCAATCAACCAAGAAAAAAACATAGAAACTTTTACACACAACTTAACACAGTTTAAGATCATGAGTTGGATTGAAGGTGAAACACAGGATTAGAACCTACATAGCTGAAATAATGGTATTGAGATAGAAACATGAATAGTTTACCCCATAAATTAAAGAGTTCAGTTCAGAATTCTCTGTAGATTACCATATCAATATATATCTGTGCAAGGCCAGATGGCACAACGGCTGAAATGTGATAACAACAAAGATAAGAACAATAGTCCAAATATAAATAGTGTAAATAATAACTGCTCACTCCAGAAATTCAGACAGAAATAATTGAATATCCCACAATTATTATCATCTTGTGCCAGACTAAGCTTAATAATATTATGGATTTGTATAATTACAAAAAAAAAAAAAAAAAAATACAAGTTAACTCTTAATTTCTACATGACAAGATTGAATTCTTGTTATTCAAAATAATATTTACAAAATAAGTTAAACACGACATATTTAACAAAAGAGCTACTGGGTCACACAGACTTGAAAGCATGGCTAACTTAGATAAAAAGCATAAAAGGGCATGCAGACTTGCCTTGGCCTAAGGTTCAAGAGTTCTTTAAAAAAAAAAAAAAAAAAAAAAAAAAAAAAAAAGAGCACTTGACAAGAGAAAACTAGCAGGAGAGTTGGTGGGGAAAATGAGTGAGGCAAGGAATGAGGACAAAGGAGGAAATGATAAAGAAAGAATTATAAAATATTAATTTTAATTGGCTGTAAATGGCAATGAAATTGTTACATTTTGATAGAATTAGCAGCTGTTATAATCAGACTATTACAAGCACTGGATTTCTCAAAGCATTTAAAAAAAAAAATCTGTATTTGACAGTCAAGAATCTGTAATGACATTCAGCAGGTTAAGAGTAAAAGTTTTCCTCGGCTAAACGTGAATATAAAAAAAAAGAAAAAATGCCTTGAAGAAATTTCTGAGTAATGCCAATTCGAGTCTCAGTAAAATCAGTCACATCACTACATAAGAATAAAAATAAAATAAAATAAAATCACTAGAACCAGAATAAAAAGCAATCATTCATAAAAAAAGTTAATGTTCTTGGAATTATAAAAAATCAGTAATAATTGTTGGCCATATTGCCATGGTGTATTGGATAACAAACTTGTCTTGCTAAACCAATTATGACTATGTAGTGAGTTTGATCCTCACATCCACATCTAAGCCATGCTCAGTAAATTGTCATTTCAACATGGTGTAATGGATAGCAAGTCTGTCTCGCTACATCAATTTCAACCAAGTAATGTGTTCAATTCTCACTGGGCGCTTCATACTCATGGCCTTGTACCATATCTAAGCTACACTTAATAAATTGCTAATCTTATAATTGTTGCTTGTTATTGGCCCTAGGATTATTTTAAAGCCACGTCCCTTCAGTCAGGACATTGGGGATCATGAATCTCCACAGAGGATTCCTTTCCTTTATTTTCTATGACGTGCCATACCTTCTTGAAAAAGATAGAGAAGTGGTTTCTTCATTATTTAGAATTCAGAGTTTTTCTTCTCTTAGACTGATTGCCACCCAAAGCTAGAGTGCCTAGTCTACTCTATTGCTGTAGTGGAAGAAGAGACAGATGTATGCATTTCCCAAGTGAATGCAATAGACTGACCTAGAATTTGAACTTGTCCTGCCAATTTTATTTTCCATTCTGATATCCAACACACTACTGACATGTCTCATTGTACAAGAGATAGAATAGTGTTCTTATAACACATGTATGGTAGCACAGAAGAACAAACAAAACAATAGTACTGCTGGTGAGGTGAAAGGAAAAAAATGACAAGAATTGTAAATATAAAATTCTTTTGTATTGCCAATACAGCAGATGGGAGCAGGTGTTGCTAAATGTAGTTGAGGGAGGGTCGAGTTGATAAGGCCTGGAGTTGATGCATTTGACCGAAGTTATGGTTGGCAATGTCAAGAGAGGGTTGGAGTAGAATAATGAAACCATGAATATGCTGATACAGAGGGTACGAGTAAAATGTGGGCATAGTACAAAGTGTTTGGAGGAAGGTGGGTCTCAAGCAGATATGCGAGTCGAGTTGGTTGACCAAAGTCATGGTGGTGACATCAATAACCCTCCAGAGTTAATAGCTTGCCTTTCTTAAAAGTAAATCTGGTGGCTCAACAAACTCATTTTTTTTCATGTTATTTTTCCTTTGGAGGCAATGGTGGTTATGATTGGCTTCTTTTATGTTGTGAAAGGTGATTTGTTTTGCGGGCCAATTGTGATGCTTGGAGCCCCTGTGCAGAGGTGACTATTTTGCTTTCTTTGCACTCATACTCGACCAACATGTAGAGTGACTCAGAAAGAGATTTAATTTGCAGTGGAGTATAACAGTATCTAAATGTCTCATATGATACATCATACACAGGTCTCATGATACATGTCTTATATGATACATCATCATTATTATATGTTCTTTTTAGAAACTTTCTTAACTCTCAAATTATTCTTCACATGGTATTTGTGATAAGAAACTACAGAAAAGATATGGCAAAAATTAATAATAATCATCTAAGAATTTTAAATGCTATTATAACTTGTACTACTTAGGTAATAAAAAGCAATCGAAATAAGATAAATGATTAATTAAAAATGGATAATAATTGACAATGCAATTATAAAGTAAGGGACAACATCCAAGTCTTGCAGTAAATTTCTGTTTTCACAAATTCCGCCCTTGCTCAGAGCCCAAAACTCAGGCTTCTTGCTATACTAAGGTCAGCTTCAGGAAAATACCAAGGTGATGTCTCACTATGGAGTAATGATAGTGAACTAGTCTCACAGACTTGTGTAGTCAGTTTGATCTTCACTGGATGCTACCACACTTGGGAATAACACGCTGTCTCCTGAAATACCCACAGCAAATATGGCGGACTCAGGATGCAAGTCCTTGTAAAGAAAAACAACAATATATATAAGAATATATATATATATATATATATATATATATATATATAAACAAATGATAATGTATTAACAACAAAGGTATAC